ACCCCCCAAGCCTGCCCCCCCTCCACTCAGGTCAATCCTTGAGACCCACATGGTAGAAGGGAAGAATTAACTCCCCCAAGCTGTCCTGCAACTTCCACACATGCACCATGGCATATATGCACATACACACATAAACACATACACAAAATAAGTAAATGAAACATAATTTGAAAGTAGTTGAGAGAATAGAAACACCTTCGAGTGTTCTCAGATTCATTTTTACTCTTCAGTCCTTCAATATTACTCAATGCTAACTTATTCTGACATATTTCCTAGCCAACAGGCCCCCAGACAAATGCTAATGACCTAAAGAAATCCAGTGACCTTTGTAAAGGGACCCCCTAGACAAAAAAACACATCCCCCAATGGATTTGTCCTGAGGGTCCCTCTCACCTGCCCTTTCCCACAGCTGCAGTGATGGAGTACGTGCACCTGGCATTGAAGCCCATCTGCACCGTCCCCCCACTACTCACCCGCAGTGAGGTAAGTGTGCTGGGTGGGGTCAGGGAGCTCCAGCCCTGAACCTTCCCTTCCCTTCCACATCTCCACTGCAGCCAGACATCTCTGGCACAAGATACTTCTCTGAGGTCTCAGAATCTTCCGTGTAGGCCCAAAGCTACACTCGTCCCTTTACAATGCTCCCTACTGACTAAGGTTTTGCTCAGACTGGTGGAGACTGGAAATTGAACCACTCCAAGCAAGCTTCGTAGCTGTTAGTCCAGCTATGGGTGGATTATTTTCTAGTCAGATGTGGGGCTCGCAAAGGCAGGCTCCATAGCAGGCACTGTGAGCCCCAACTCTGAATATACACATGTGCACACTCACACAAATCCTCAGTGGCTCTAGGCTCACCATTCATACTTACTTAACGGTGTGTATTAACTGTCTTCTATGTACAGAGCATCAACACCATCCTCAAAGTTATGATGCACAACTGCTTAGAGGGTTGTTTTTTGTTTTTTGAGACAGGGTCTCACTATGTAGCTCTGGATATCCTGGAACTCATTGTGTAGAGCAATCTCAAACTCACAAGAGATTCGCCTATCTGTGCCTCCTGAGTGCTGAGATGAAATGCATGCACCAGAACCAGCTGATGTGTAGTTTTATATTTGCTTAGCATGTGCCATTCAAAAATAGGACATCCTGGGGCTGGAGAGACAGCTCATCAGTTTAGAGCACTTACTGCTCTTCAGAGGGCCCAAGTTTGATTCCCAACACCCACATGCTGGCTCATAACCACCCATAGCTTCAGCCCAAGGGATCTAGCACCCTC